TCTGTTCTTTTTCGAAGAATTCTGAAATAGTGCAATAAGTTAGAGTGAGACAAACTACAGCTGTCTCATTCTAACTTATTGTACACACACACGGGGGGAAATGTACAGTGCTAGTGTTGTCGATTGGACAAATTTTTGTCGAGAGGAAGTTGTGCGCATATATGTATATGTGCACAACTCTCACCTTCGACTCTCACCCTCTTCTCCCCCTGCTTCCGGGGCACCCGACTCTCACCTTCGACTCTCATCCCCCTCTCCCCTGCTTCAGGGGCGCACGACTCTCACCCCCTCTCCCCCCTGCTTCAGGGGCGCCCGACTCTCACCTTCGACTCTCACCCCCCTCTCCCCTGCTTCAGGGGCGCACAACTCTCACCTTCGACTCTCACTTTCGACTCTCACCCCCCACTCTCCCCTGCTTCAGGGGCGCACAACTCTCACCTTCGACTCTCACCCCCTCTCAACTCTGCTTCAGGTGCGCACGACTCTCACCTTTGACTCTCACCCTTGGAAAATCGTGCGCCCCTGAAGCAGGAGGGAGGGGGATGAGAGTCGAAGGTGAGAGTCGTACGCCCCTAAAGCAGGGGGGAGGAGGGGTGAGAGTCGGAGGCGAGAATCGTGCGCCCCTGAAAGTCAAAACCTATGTGGAATAGTATTTAATATTGCATATATAATATAGCTAAAATAATACGTTATTTTCCAAACTTTTGTTAATAATTTTTTAATGAAGGACGAGCGACGGCTAAAACTTGTTGGAAGTTACTCAGGGTCATGACTTTGACAATACATATATCAAGGTCAAGGCCATGGGGGGGTCCCCTAATCGGAACTTTTACCCAGGTTTTTTAAACATTGTTAAATGTTTTATAAAAATTTCTATGTTTGGAAGAATTTGAAAATCCGTAGTCGCTATGAAAACTGAAAACAGAGTAATGCATCTTTTAGTTCACACCATGGAACGTACGAATAGATTTCATAAAACAGACTTTTAAATATTTTAATTCAGAAACATAGAAATGCCCTGTAACTTGAGATTTTTCATTAGGGATGCAAAAACTACAATATATAAAAAAATTCAAGCAAATTGATTGAAAACTTTTTTACATATAAATCGTGTGTGGTCGTTTACAAAAAAACACAATTTCTTTTATTTACACCTTTGTGAACAGAAATCAACCCCTTTTCCTCCTTTGTAAAAATATTCCTCCTCTTTTCCTCTTGTAAAAATATTCAACCCCTTTTCCTCTTGTAAAAATATTCGATTTAGAAATAAAGAATATTTCTAAATCGAATAATATAAATAATAATAAGAACATGAACATGTTATATGAATTTAAACACTCTTAACTTAAACAAGCGTACAATAACATAAAATTTTAACTTTGCCTATGTATCATACGGTATTTGTAGGCACAGATTTCAAAGTATTAAAAATTTTATGGCAAATTAAAACTGTGACAGAAAATTAAGAGGAAACTTAAATGTACTAAAAAATAAATAAAACTGATAAAGTGTGCACGTTAAATGTTATACATATTCATTGATTACAATAGTGTAAAATGGATTGATTATAGGTGGAGACCGAAAGTACAAGAGAATTTGTAATCACGACATGGAAAAATGGCTTTGTAGAAGTATCTGCGAAGGACGACCTCAACGTCACTAAAATATTTAAGGAACTTCTTATCCAAGCGAAGTTGAAATACGATTTGAGTCCGGCATTGCAACGTCGCCGTCGACAATCTTTGCCGCCTCCGCAACATTCAAACTCGCGCAGCAGCAGTAGTACCCACGTGCCGTCCACGACTCAGTTACAACATTTGCAACAAGTTCGTGAGCGTTCCGATTCCAAAAGAAATTCCTGTATCCTATCGTAAGATGAGAACCCTTTGATATTGTCGCGAAATATCTTTCTTGACGATTTGATACCGAATTAGTTCAATCTCGTGCAATTATTCAATTATTATACAGGGTGTTTGAAAATTATCGGCTAATCGATCACGAGCAGGTAGAACGGACCGAATTGAATCGAAAAATCTTATACCATTTTGTAGGTTGCGCAATAGTTAACGAGATATTAACGTTTAAAGATAGCCGAATAAGCGCGTCCGGCCGGCCTACTCTCTGCTACCGAATATACAACCTACCGTCCCCACCGATCGCACGGTGCGCGAGCCGCTGGGAGTGGGGATGGCCTGCTAGGCGTGCTCATGGTGGAAATATATAAGGTGAAGCAATTTGATAGATGCGCAGTAGGAAAGTGCATATTCGGACATATTTGATTGGCTATTTCCAGTATTACTACCGTTATTATGCGTATTGTTTCACCTTATATATTTCCACCATGGGTGTGCCGTTCGAGTCATTTGAAGACGTTTAGTGGCAGTTCCCACTCCCAGCGGCCCGCGTGCCGTGCGATCGGTGGGGACGGTAGGTTGTATATTCGGCAGCAGTAGGCCGGTCGGACCCGCTTATTCGGCTATCGTTAAATGTTAATATCTCGTTAACTATTACGCAACTTACAAAATGGTATAAGATTTTCAATTCAATTCGGTCCGTTCTACCTGCTCGTGATCGATTAGTCGATAATTTTCAAACACCCTGTATAATATGTCAGGCGGTTAATTGATCCAAATTTTATAAATAAAAGATGTTTTATGTCTCGATTTTAAAGTTTTTGTTATCTGGACAATGATTTGCATATGACGCAGATAGTAAAATGTTAGCAGGATATCGACCGACTGGTAGCAGATTTGATCAGGAGATGTTAGCAGACTAATCACAACTGATGTCGCATTCTGCTCCTGTTCTGTCGACAAAACCTGTTAACATTCTACGCAAACAGACTGACAGAAATTAAACAGAACCTGTTGACAGAATCTGATAGCAGATTGCGAGCAGAAACCGAGCAGAGTCTGCTGACATAACTTGACAGTAGATTGGTAGCAGAAACCGAGCAAGAATCTGTCATTTTAATTTAAATCGATCTGGTTTCTTATAAGAAATTTTGTGTACATATATATAAACAGTTATATATAATTATACATAATGCCGTATTTGAAAATGGTAGATCTTGTTCGGTTTCTGCTGCCAATCTGCCGTCAAGTTATGTCAGCTGATTCTGCTTGATTTCTAGGCTTTCTAGTCGCGATGCTAAAGCCTCCTGTCTTACCCACATTTCCATTCGGTGAAAAATCTCCGAATTGGATGTACGGATTGCAAAAGTATTATTACATAAATTAAAGTACGTACAAACAGGACTTCAGCTGTACTGGATTTCATGAGAAAATCGAAAAAAAGTTAAAAAATTCACTTACTTTTGGCTCGTACAGCTGTTACCTCAGATATATATTTGCTTGATATAAGAGTTTTAGACTCCATGTCTTGAAAATAAGCGTGCAGCTGAGGTCACATTATTGGAACGAATAATATCGAATTTGTAGAACTAAGATTGAAAGTCTAGAAAAAAAGTATCGTCTCTCACCGAATGGAAAATACGTGTAGACAGGTGCTTTGCGAAGACTGGGACTGTCAACAGAGCCGAAATTCCGTGTAGCAGTAGTTGCGTGATCTTGCGATAGGTGCGATTGTTAAATAAGGACAGATGTATGCGTTTGAGTAAAACAGAACGATATATATTACATAATATAATGTAAGAAATGAATTAAAGATGTCACCACTATTATCGAATTTGGAATTAAAAAAGTCTGTGCTATCAACTTCGATCAAGTTCGGTAATCGGTTTAGCATCCCCTTAACGTATGAATGTTATAAATGGATATTCTTAATAAATATCCCAGCAAGCCAAAACATAGACGTATATGTAATATAACACGAATGTTATGAATGTTACATGTAATATTATTAATACCGTAAATGTAACATACTGGTATGGCGCTATGTCAGCAACTTGGTAACGTACTGTGTATAGTTATATTTTACTGATATATTGCAGTAATATAACGTAATATATATATTACATATTTTGCTATATCTTGTGATATGTAACACCAATATCTATATTATGTCTATATAATGCAATATATATATATATATATTCGTTTAAAGATAAACAAATTATTCCAGGTCTCGTCCGGATGGATGTAGTCGCATTCCATGCACTATTCCCAACAGGATAATTTAAAGCTAAGCGAGAAAACAGCCGCACGCCGCTGTCCTCCATGCATGTGCGGGCGCGGGCCGTCATAGTTTTCCTGTTGCGTGTTCTCAACGGTCACTCTCGACAAATTTTTTACGATTTAGCAAATTTCTACATTTTACAATGGGTAAATCTTCACCTAGTTCGAGAAAGAGAAGGAGTCCGTCATCTGGAGATCGTCTTGCAGCTTTAGAGGAGAAAATGTCTCGCTTGATCGAGACGCTGTCGCGTAGAGAAGTTTACGTGTCTCGTCCCTTCTCGTTCTCTATCTCTCGGCATCCTCTTCTCACATCGAGCACGAGATACAAAGATCGCGCATTGAGTCGAGGTCCGACGCCAGGGTGATTGAAACATCGCCCATTTGGAGGCGGTCCATTCCGGATCCCTCGGACGAGGATTCCCTGGCAGCGCCTGCACGATAGGAAGGGCCAGAAGATCCGCATAGGTGTGTATGAACTCACCGGATCTGCATTTGCGGAATGCAGGCGGGAAGTCGACACAGCCTGTTCCGATTAATCGGAACTCCTTCCCACGGTTTCAGAAGCGGTTGACAACGAAGAAAAATTACGTTCTGCGTCTCCACCAGTCGATTCGGAGACAATGCCTGATATTCCCGTGGTTACGGGAACAGACGATGAAAATGCGGATTCATTGACGAGGAGCTGTTCGATTCCGACTTTGTGAGTGCGGAAGTACAACCTTGGAATGACCATGTATCTGCCAAGTGGCATAATCTCTCTCGCAAAGGTCTGGATTCTAAGAGAGTCCTTCATGAGAAAATATTCTCCGCCGGATACATTATCCTTTCTGAGGGCCCTAAGGTTGAACCAGGAATGTAAGTCTGCGCTGAAAAATAATTCAATCATTAAAAGAGACGAGTTTCATTGCAAGAATCAGGATTAGGTCGGCATCGCCTTGACCGCTTTAGGAGAGGCTATCTCAAACTGTCTTAAACCCGATATCCAGCATTCGTTGAATCCGGACACCCGAGTGGCTGTCTCAAAAGTTGATGACGGAGCGATGATTTTGGCTGATCTATTTTTTCGATTGTCTCTATCCAGAAGAGCTCAAATCAAACCGGTGCTCAACTTATTAACTAAGTCGGGAAACGCCACGTCCCTGCATTCAGAGCGAGTTCGGCGTCGAGGACAGCAGAGACATCGAGCAGTAGCCGCCGGTCGCCAGCCCAGATCGCGATCGAGGAGGCGCTGAATACCAGTCAGGTATATGTCGCCGGCAGACTGTCGTCTTTTCTCCCTCAATGGATCACGACGGATTCGAGAATTTTAGAAGCCGTGGCGGGATATAGACTCCCCTTTATTAGTCATCCGCCGCTTCAGGAAGTTGAACCGCCTTCAATCCGCCTTTCTGAATCCGAAGAGAAGATTTGCTCTTTAGAGATTAATAGATTGCTGAGTAAAGGAGCAATTGAGCCTGTAGCAGAGTGCAAGGGGCAATTTCTATCCTCATTCTTCGTAATTAAAAATCTTCTGAGGGCCGGAGGTTCATCTTGAATTTGAGGCGGTTTAATGAATTCATTGAAGCTCCTCATTTTAAAATGGAGGATTGGAAGACAGTCATTCGCCTTTTTTCTTAGGAGATTTTTTTAGCTTCAATTGATCTCGAGGATGCATAATGGCTGATCCCAATTCACGAAAATGACAGAAAGTTCCTACGGTTTAGATTTCAGGGCTGCCTCTATCAATTTCGGGCTTTGCCGTTCGGATTAGCATCGACTCCGTACATTTTAACGAAAATTTTGAAGCCTGTGTTATTTTTTCTCAGGAACAGAGGTTTTCTATTGGGGCGTATTTGGATGACTTCTTGCTGATTGGAAACTCACGGAAAGCGTGCTCGGAGAATGTCGCTGCGACCCTAGACATCTTATCTTTTTTCATTAGGATTTCTGGTCAATAGAAACAAATGCGTACTTAACCCGGCGAAATCCTGCCGCTTTTTGGGCTTCATTTTCGATACGGACTGTCTCTCAGTGTCAATCCTTTGAGACAAAAGAGATAAGCTCCTTCGGAAGACGTTATCTATGCTACGAAAACGATCATTCAAGATCCGGCTCTTCGCGTTACATTGGTTCTCTGATTTCAGTCTGCCCAGCCGTACAATACGGAATTATGCACACTAAGATTCTAGAGAGAGAGAAGTTTCTAGCCCTTTTAGCAGTAAACGAAAATTTTGATTCTTAGATGGCTTTGCCACCTTCAATTAAGGAGGACCTGCTTTGGTGGGAAAACATTTTTGCAAACCCCACTCAGTCCAATATTATTAGATCAGGTCGTTTTGCCCTGGAGATCTTTACGGACGCATCCTTAACAGGATGGGGCGCGATCTGCGGCAAAATACGGATCCACGGTTTCTGGTCAGCAGAAGAGAAACAGAATCATATCAATTTACTAGAACTTCTTGCTGTATTTCATGCTTTAAGATCCTTTGCGTCCCAAATAAGAAGATGCGATATTTTGTTAAGAGTAGACAACTCTACAGCTCTCTCCTACGTCAATCGCATGGCTCAATTAAATTTCCGCACCTATTGGATTTTGTCCGGAGGATCTGGGAATGGTGTGCTGAGTGGAATCTGTTTATTTATGCTTCATATATCCCCTCAGCCCAAAATGTTGAGGCAGACGCCGAATCTCGAGTTATCTCGGAAGAAACAGAATGGATTCTTGAACAATCTTATTTTGTCAAAATTGAGGCTCAGTTTGATCGTTTTGATATCAACTTGTTCGCCTTATCAATTAACGCTAAATGTCCTAGATTCGTCTCTTGGCTCCCAGATCCTCTGGCTTT